TTTATGAGTAAACTCTTTGTTGACAAAGTATCTGTGTTAAAATTGCCAAGGAAAAACTCGCATGTTAACTAGGTGAAATATCGATTTTGATTTCTGGGTTGTTTCTTCGAAGAATCATATTAAATCGCATGTTCGTTGAAATGAGTTGAAATTCTGGGGTGTTTGTACTTATGTAAAAATTTCATAGCAAAACTAGAACCCTAGCCTATTGAACCAGAAAACGTTCGTTTTGTCCTCGTTCTTACATAAAGTGTTTGAACTGATTAGGAGTTGATTTAAGGGTCAATCTCTAGTTTTCTAGTCCCATTTTGAGTCTATTTATTTTATGTATTTAAAGGATTGTTTTGAGTTTAGTCGTCAAATCCAAGTGTTCCAAACTCCACAAAATTTCCATAAACTACTTAGTCGATATTGTTCGACTAAATATGAACTCTCGTAAATGTTTCTAAGTGTCAAGGTAGTGTATTTATAAGGTTATCTTGATAAAACTGTAGGTGTTTGACGAGCCTAGCTCTCGACCTACACTTGTTGTCCGAGCATTTCTCTGTTAAGGTGTTTAGGTGGGTTTATTTAAATATCTATGCCGTGAATTGTTGGTATTGCTTGAATGGTATGATCTATGTATGCATGTGAACCTTGTAGCCTTCAATGTGGGCTTTATCGGCCGTTGAACGGTTATCCTCGTCTACTTGGTACGAGCCCTTTTTGGGCAGTCTCTATAAGTCCTGTACGGAGGCTATATCGTATGTAAGACCGGGGCAGATGTCGAAGGCCTTCGATATGTATGTCGTTGTAAGACCAAGGATAGGCCTTGGCAGTCGATAGATACTCCTACTGAGTGGAAACCGATGTAAGGCCTGTACGGAGGCAATCAATACGAAGATACTCAGTAGCTCTATAGAGATGTGCACATGAGTATTTATGATTAGGAGAGTAATATTTGATTGATTCGTGTTCATGTTGCGACCATACCTGTCTATTTGTATTTATGATTTATGTGCATAATGGAGAGCAAGTGGTTTTGTGCTCACTCCCATGTCCCCCCTCCCCCCAATTTCAGGTTGAGCAAGTGGCAGGTACGACGAGCGAAGATGAGTGGTGGTCAGTCATGTGATGACATTGACCCTTTTATTTGTTGTCGCATGATTTACGATCTATTGATTATTGAACTTTTGAGACACCGTTGTTATTTTGAGATACTTTGGTTATACGTGATGTGACGTCAGATTGATAAACGGTTTTGAAAACCCTATGCGTGGTTGTGAATTCAGACCTGTGGATAGGTCGATTGGAACTTATGTTTATTGATGCCATGTTTAACATTTACATGATGATTACTGACATGATGATGTGTATTGATATATGTGGTTGATATTTGAGTAAAGCCATAAATGTTAAAGTCGAAATTGAATTTCGAAAAATTTTAACTTGATTTTGAATAAGCCATGGATTATTTATTAAATCAAAGTGGGGCGTTACAGTTGTGGTATCAGAGCCAGGTCTACGTTTCTGTAGACTTCTTTATGTGATATATGCGATTATATGCTTATGAAATTGTGAATGACCACTCGTCTACGTAGTGTCGCGCCAGCTCAGGGTATGTTCTTACATAAGTAATAATGATATTACTCATGTTATGATAATGATTTTTATTTGATGTGTTATTAATTGGGGCTTAGGGATTTACCTTCCGTATGTATGGACTTGAACTCTATTGGTATAGAGTTAAATTCTGACTTTAGAGGTTCCTTGTTGTGAGTTTCCGGTATGGTATTGTCAAGTTAAGCTCAGGCTTTAGCAGTTCTTTTGCTATAAGTTCTACTTAGTGTCTTCTGGCGAGGACCATTCGTAAACTATCTCGAAAGAGATGGGTTTAGGAACTGGGTAAGTCCCTAATGTGTGGGATTACTCGAAGAACTAGAACCATTGTCGATAGGACCCTCAGATGCGTGTTAGTACCCAATCAATGAGGACCGAGACTGGCGTTTAAGTGCCACGTTCATGTTGTGGATCGACCCCATAAATTATGGAGAGTCTGATGCTTTTCACTGTCGCGACACTTGAGAGTGGCTAAGCCTCAAAAGAGATGATATATGTCTATTCTTCTGCGAAAATTCTTGAACGAAGGAATTCAACATTGTTTTTAGGGCGGATAGGCCGTTCAGACACTGCGTGAATACCTGATACCATGATCGCGAGGCGACACTTCAATCTTAAAGGGGACGACAAAAATTTTCTTCTGTGTATCAAGTCGAGAGTGATGCTCACGTGCTGAGGAGTATGAAGGATCATCTAAGGAGGGTAACCGAGCCTGGTACAAGCACATCGTGAGGTGTAGAACCGTCTTCAGTTTTTAATGTCGTTCATCGTAGTCTTTAAAAACTCTCGTTCTTTTCGTTCTTTTCAGATATCGGGAGTAATCTTTTAAATTCTTGGACTCTTGCAATCCTTTAAAAACTCCTGTTTTATTTTGGGTTCGTTTGGAGTTTCGAGTTCAAGTTTTGCAACCTTGTGTATTAATTAAGACCAATTTTCGCTTGTCTTATATCATTCTTTCATTTGTTGTTATGCCATTCTGACTTGGTATTCCATTCATACCTGGATCAGTTTGTCATTATCTTTATAGATGCTATCCTAGTCTATTTTTGAGACACGATTGAGATGAGTCAACCGACTGATGACGAAGGGTGATCAACCGCTACCAAGGAGTTACTATCAGTTCGACCAACGAAAATAACTGAGGTAGTCTCGAAGATCGATTCGAGGCCTGACTACCATCAGCGAAGAATAAAAGAGGGTCCAACGTACCAAAACAGGCTTTACGACGTGATCCAAAATCGTGAAAATCTTGACAATAGAGGAATTGAGCTCGTTTAGGACTGTCGACACGATCAGCTACTAGAAAAAGAGCTGACGTGATGACCGACATTGTTAGTCAGAAGAGTCGAGCAAGTTAACCACTTCATTGTTCGGCAATGACTGCCGAGTTGGGGTTATTCTTGGCTGAGAAACCGATATTCAATCTCTTTGGAAATTTTCCTCTATTTCTATCATTAATATTCAGGTGATTATTGTATCGATTAGGGAAAACCTGGTGAACTTGGAACACGATTTTATGTCTTATTATGTTTTGAAGCCCTTGAACATTCGAGAGTGTATACACAATAATGTCATGAGAAGTCCCTTTGGTTAAAACCCTGAATTTCTGTTGTTTTGGAAGTTTTGTGAAAAACCCTTTCCTTTTCTGCTTACCTTTGAAATTATCAACCCGAAATTTGAAATTTCTAGTACGTACCTCGAAATATACTTCAATACTATTCAAACCCAATTGAAAAAAGGAAAAAAAAAAGAAGGAAAAATTACACTATTCGTCCACTAATTATACCCTCGTTGCACTTTTGTCCTTTAATTGTTTCCGGTTTACAATTGGTACACTAACTTTTTTTTGGTAATTTTAGTCCAAAATGACATTTCAGTGCTCATTTTCGCTGGAATAGCTGATGTGGCGCCCAGTCATATCGGAATCTTCATTCTCGGCGTGATGTGGCACGAGGTGGCGCCTAGTCAGATCGGAAAAATTGCATTATCGTCCATTAAATTTACATTCGTTGCACTTTCGTCCTTTAATTGTTTCCGGTTTACCAAATCAGAAAAAAAAATATTAAAAAGTCAAAAGAAAAAGAAAAATATATATTTTTTTTTATTTTATAAAAAATATTTTTTAATTTAATAAAAAATAGAATATTTAATGATTAAATCAAAACGAAACAAATTTATAATGAGTGATAAATATTTTTTATTTAATGACTAAGTATTTAATAAAAACGAAAATTATTTTTTATTAATATTTTATTTTTCGTTAAATATTTAACCATTAAATATAAAATATTTATTACTCATGAAATCTTTATTTCGGTTTATATTTCTTTTTTTATTAAATGTTTATTTTTTATTTAATCATTAAATATTTTGTTTTTTATTTAAATAAAAAAAATATTTTTTCATTAAACAAAAAAATGATAAATATTTCTTTTTTATTAAATATTTAACCATTAAATAAAAAATATTTATTTCTTAATAAATATTTATTTTGTTTTTCATTTGTTTTTTATTAATTATTTCGTTTTTATTTAAATAAAAAAATGTATTTTTATTAAATAAAATAAAAGATATTTTTTTTTATTTTGCTTAAAATCATTGAACAAAATGATTTTTTTATTAATTAATATTCTTTTGTTTTGTTTAAAATCATTCTTTTTGTTTTGATTATTTAATATTTTTTTTCTTATTTTGTAAACTAAAACAATTAAAGTACGAAAGTGCAACGAATGTAATTAAGTTAGTGGACAAATAGTGCAATTTTTCTGATCTGACTAGACGCCACCTCGTGCCACATCACGCCGTGCAACTTTTCAAA